CTCACGCACCTACAGTATTTACATACCAATGGAATACCCATCTCTGACAGAACTAAACAAAAAGTGGGATACAAAGGAAGGACCATTTTGTATCTGTATATACAGAAGTTAGGATAGATATACAGCTACTTTCACTTAAATCAATGAGAAGAAAGATTTGTGCTAATAGTGCTTGGACAGGATATCCTGTCTGCATCTTGTACTACAGATAACCACCATGAAGGCAGCAATGTACAATGTATTAATGTAAAAAGAGAGAGAGAGAATGCAGAAGTGCCCAGATGGAGCCAGGAAGGGGCCAGCGGCCTGTCCCACTGCACAAGTGGAGCACAAGCAGGCAGACGCCCTGTGGGGTGAAGTCTGGCTTAGTGGGAACAAGTGACACCGGGCGATGGGGTGAGGTCAGCCAGCGGAGGGCCACGAGCTCGGCTGGGGCCCTGGTCAGGAGCTAAGCTCTGCATTTACCTCAGCTGTATGTAAAATAAGGTTTTCGCTTTCTGCATTTAATTACATAATAAATTAGTATGCATATTGAGGATATAATAAATTCATATTCATACTAAAAGTTAAATATGAAATAATACTTTCAGGCCAATGGAAAATATCACAGTTCTTTTTTTTTTTTTTTTAATCTTACCACTAGACACACAACACAGTTAGTTCCTAGCGCCCGGCCATCCCATGTGGCAGACGTAGAAGCTCTGAGGCCAAGCTCCCCAGCCCCTGCACCCGAAGCTCCCTCTATAAGTATAGACTTAGCGAGATCCTATTTGTACCCATAGAACTCAATAAGATAAATGCTGAGGGTTTTTTTTAATGTTAGTTCATCTCAGGAAATCATATTCCCCACCACCACCTGTGATCTGATGCCACCCCCAGCGCCATCCCATGGCACAGGAGCCTTCCACTTTACGGTCTAAAGAAAGCATCCGACCTTGCCTTAGTGGCATTATGCCATCACAACAGAGATGGAGGAAGCACCTGGGTTACTCTCTCACCTGGCACGGCCTAATGCGTCTATACCAATGAACTCTCAACTTGACAATAAACCATTATATATATTCATAACATTTTTCTAAAAACTATTTTGCTGTGTTTAATTTTATAAAATACTACCACCTGGTTATAATGGCTAGAAAAAACTAAGGCTTTTAGTATGTCATGAAGGAAGGAAAAAACCTGTGAGAGAATTCAAAATTTCCATTTATGTCCAAGTAGCTAAAATTGTGACCAGTAAGACAGGAAAAGGTGCTTTCAGGACAGTTCTTCCTTTTGCTAAATTAGAAAACAAAAAGATCTCATTTGCAAAAGGCTAAAAGTTGTGCCATTTCATAAAAGTCATCCAACTAAGCAATTCTCAATAGCTGCTAAATATATATGTGAGTGGAAGGTAATATGAAATACACAGCGAAGTTTTCTTTTTCAGGAAAAGAAGACGAGGTACATTTTAGTTCAAAATATCCAGCTGAGGTTAGCTTTACTGGCTTCCTTAAATTGGCAGAAAATTTACAACATCTCCAATTGTAAAAATAATTATAAAATTCAATCAAAATCAATTAACATTCCTTCAAGTTCCGTGCCCAAGATCTACACAAGAGTGACACAGGCTGCACGGCCACGTATCTAAGGCCATCTGATTGTAAGGAAGGTGTAGGCTAATCAAGGACATATATGCACACACAAGGAGACGGACAGAGCAACATGCGATTGATTCTGCAAGAAAAGCATTGCCCAGCATACTAGAGGAATGCAGAGCACAAAGGCGGTAGAATCTCCGAAAGACCAGAGAAATTTTCAGAGCCCGGAAGATTTGGTCTAGGCTTTAAAGAGCAGGGAAGAAGCTTCCAGAGGGCTGACACACCACAGGCAAACGCTGTCTGTCTGTCACTGGACAGACGAAAGTCCAGCGTAGATACAGGAGG